TATTCACTCGTCCTGGCTGCTACCCCAGGAGAATCAAAGGCATTGTTCACTCTCAGAGGCTGACAGTGATCCTAAACAAAGTCCTTAAGAAGCAGAAGAAGGAGGGAAAGCCTTCTCAGAAGAACAAAACGGAGGAAACCTGTCTGCTCTGGGTACTGTTGCCACAGCCCAGTCTTGTCTGGGCCCTTCAGAAGGTCGCCTTAGTTGGGGGGCAGATTTGTTTTGTTTTCCAAAGTGCAGTCCCAGCTCTTTTCCGGTGTCTCTACTGAGCTTTCCCACCCCTTCTCCGATCGCCTCCTGCTCTAGTGTTCCACGCATTTAACTCCCCGTGCTCCCTGAGTATGGTATGGTGGGTTTGGGTTTGGGTTTGTTTTTGCCTCACTTTCCCCAACCGGACTGAAAGGTGGGATTCGTCGATTCATGGAACACACCCCCTCCTCCACGCCTGCAAACGCTTGGCCCCTGGCAGCTGATGAGCAGACCCTGGTCTTCCTGAAAGCTTGCGGCTTGGCAGTTGGCCCCGTGATTAGGAAATAAATTGGTCTATTTCAAAGTAATGGGGGATTGCACTGCCCCATTCCCCTTTTCATTTAAGAATTGTGACACCAATAATCAAAAGAAGAAAAAGATTTAGGAGTGTCATTCTTAACCCTCCCGCTTTCTTTCATAAGACAGCCCCCCTTTCCCCGGTAAAACATCATAAATGTGAGTAAAAGTCTCCCCTCTGCTGAGCACGTTTCCGCTCTTGCTGGCTGACAAGGAAGCCCACGCCAGGGGAGGAAGCCCACAGAGCTCCAAGCCCACCTTCTCCTCCTGTCCCCCTTTCAAGCCTCCTGCCCACCTCTCCCTTCCCTTCTGCACCCAGTGCTTTCTAAGCTCTCCTGCCCGCGGGCCTGTGAAATCCCACTTTCACACACCCAAAATGTTGTTTTAAGTCTTGGTGATCTCCCTGCAATCTCCCTATTCAATGCTGGCAGAAGTGTTTAGGATTTGGAGTCAGGACGCTGGTTACAGGTGTGCCCTCTGCCATTGTTTACTCACTAAAGGACCAGGGACCAGCAGCTTCTCGGGTCACTGGTGTCTCCCCCTACAAAGTGGGAAAATAAAGCTGCCCCCAGGGCATGGCCTCAGGGAGCAAATGGGGCAAGAGTATGTAGGAGCACTTTGTAAACAGTAAGGCATCATGCAAAAAAAGATGTCGCTATTGCAAGACTCTACCCCTCTTAACGATGGTTCATGTATCAGGGAAAAGAGGGGGCATATTTTTGGCCCTAGGAAGGTTCTTTCCCTGTTCCTTCAACTGCACATATTGCTAATCCTCACATCATTTTACCTGATCCCTCCCCCTCTAGAGTCCAGAGCATCATCCTGTTTTCCCCAACGAGACCACCCACTCCAGGGAGGGGGCAGAGAGGAGGCGGGAAGGCCAGGTGGAAAGATGGAAGCATTTTTGAGCTTGGAGGGACTTCACTGAGGGGAGCTTTCCTAGGGACGTGGAGAATCCTTCTGTTCCGCTAGAAGCCGGTTGCTACCCCCACCAGGCAGGAAGCCCGCTTAGCTTCCCCTCACCCCAGACGGTTCAGCAAGCTTGTGTCCAGGGCTGTGCCATGTCCTGCACCACCCTTCTTGCCTCTGGAGCCCCGGGTTCGGACCATTCCAGGACGCAGAGGATGGCCCACAGAGGATGAGCCACAGGAGAAGCAGAAGCCACCGTTTGGGCTTTAAAGAGCCCTCTTAGGGGGCAGCTGCTTAGTCATGTTCTCTTAAATTATGTACACTTAGGAAGGAATATTCTATACCCAAAGAGCTTGCAAGGAGGTCCGCCAGCTTTGAATGTCCCTTACACAGTGACAATCGGGCTTCATCCCTGAAGAATGTTGTAAATGGGACAGCCTCTCGTAGAGAGAGAGACAGACCAGGCCCTGCCTTCGGAGTGCTTCCATCGGGGGGGGGGGGGGGGGGGGGGGGGGGGGGGGGGGACGGCCCCCCCCAGAGCTGGGTGGGGGGCAGCTGGGATCAGGGCAAGAGGCGGGAGGCGCGTCTATACGGCGTCAGCCAGCCTCTTGGCTCAAAAGCTGAACAGGGGCTGAAGAAAGTAATTTTCTGAGTTGCCAAGGCGTCCACACGATATGAAAGTTGTAAAATAGGAAAGGGTGGACGATGACCGTTGTCCTTGCCCCCCCTTCCTGTCTCCAGCGGTGCCTCCGCATCCTTCCTGAGATACTCTGGGCACGTGCAGACGGGCTGAATGCTCATATGTACGTTCTTATCCCCCTTTCTGAGACTGTGAGTGGGGTCATTCTGTACAGATGGCTCTGGGGGGTGCCTTTTCACTTCCCGCTCGGTCTCAGAGGTAAGAAAGAGGAGGCAGCCTGTCGCGCCCGTCAGGGAGCCATGGCCGTCGGCGTGGATGTGCCGTCGGCGTGTTAGCCCCTTCCTGCCGACGAGCATCTGCGTCTCCAGTCTCTGCTTTTACAAGCACCACTGTAACGAATGACCCCACACACTCGCCTTCAGCAACCATGCAACTGCATCTACGGAAGGAAATCCCAGAAGCAGATTGTTGGGTCAAGGAGCATATGCCTTTGCAGTTTTGGTAGAAGTTGCCAGAATGCCTCCACAGAGGCATTTTTGTCCCAGCTTCTGAAAACAGCTCTGGGGGTGTGGTTGGAGCCAGAGTCTGAGCTGGGTCTGGGAGTAGAGTCACAGGCAAGATGGGGGGGGGGGGCCGGTTTGGATTGTGCCCTGTGTTTGGACAGCCGCGGGCGCGTCAGCACTGAGGGCTGCCCCTCCTTAACACGGAGAGCCAAGCCCCCACAGGGGCTTCGCCCGAGGGGCTCTCACAGGCTGTTAGAACGTGGTTGGTGGCACAAGCTTGAAGTCCAAATGCCCCCCGTCCCTCTCTGTTTCACCCGTCTGTCGGGTCTCTAGCACTCGCCCCTGGAAGCACCCAGGGGGCGTCTGTGTCCCGTGGTTGGGGCGAGCGTTGGGAGCACAGGACATAAATTCCCTGTTAGCCTGTGACGTGAGAACCAGCATGTTCTGGGCTGCTCTGTGAGGAGCGAGGCTGGCAGGCCAGCTGAGGACTCTCGCTGGAAGGACCATGGAAAGACGAGCCACCACCCCTGGGGGCCCGAGGCCCACGGGGTGCTGGGCTCCACAAACAGAGTAGCACATGGGCTTCCCTCTTCTGCCTCCCAGCAGAGCCCTCTGAAAGGCCCAGGCACGCCCCCTCTGAGCCTTGGCAGGCATCCCCATTCCTCACCGCTCTGTGGGCGTCCCTGGGGAGCATTGAAGCCGTGACACTAAAGAAGGGCCCAGACTTGGGCCAGGCAGTTCCTCCATCACCCTGCCTGCCGGACCACCCCTCCCCCAACAGCCGGAAACCCCCAGGTCTGCTGCCCTTGACCCTCCCTCTCCTTCCCCACCCCAAGCCCCACCTCAGAACGGGCTTTGCTTCTCAAGACCTTTGGGGGAAAACTTTTGTTTCTAAAAGAGTTGGGGGCTTTCCTTTTGGAGGCCTTTGGTATCTTAAGTTTTGAGACCCACCAAACCATGCGTGATCGAGTGTTCTATCTCCTGCTTTCACCTAAACCTGCCTCCCAGAGGTCATCCCACTTGGGATGGCTTCGTGGGAAAGGAGGTTCCCTAGAAGATGATCCTCCTCCTTTGATTGGTTCCTTCCAGAGTTCCCACCAGGGAAGTACGTACCCCGAACACTCTCTGGGCATGGGGAGGGAGAGAAGATGCCAGCGGAGCTTGAGCCCCACACCCTTCCGTGCTCCCTTCTCTCACCTTGCCTGTTGGGTGGCGAGTGTCTTCCAGGCACCCTCCCCCCACCAGGGCAGCCCTGGCTGCTGTGGGGACCCAAAAGGCCAACCCAGAACCCCTGCCCCAAAGGCAGATGGGGGATTTTGCTGGGAACAGGAGACTTACATACTTTTGCATTTGGTTTCAATGTTAAATAGCGTGTTGTGACCTCATATGGGTGAGATGTGCTCGCGAGTCCAGAGCTGGAGGGTCGGAAGAAAAGGGTTGGTTGAATTGATTCCCGAGGAATAGGTGGTTCCTCCAGGGAGCAAAGATGGAAGCAGAGAAGGGAACACACATGTGTACAGGGACTGTAGACTGTGAGGAGAGGGCTCTGGAATTCGGGACGGAGTAGCACTGCAAAGGAGGTCCAGGCTTATGGCTCTGCATCTTTGTCTGGGTCAGAAGCGGCGAGTGGCAAAGAGGTAGCCCTTGGTACTGACGTCTTTGCTTTGACTCCCATGGTTTAAAAATTTTAAATATCAAATTTAAAATAAAAAGTTTACTGAGTTATCCAGAAATGTGAGACCCCAGACCCGAATCCAGATTCTGCTTCTCTTGGAAAACAAATCCAGCCCCTGGACTCTATGAGGTTTCTAGAGCTGCCATAACAAAGTACCTCACACTGGGTGGCATAAAACAACGGAAGTTTCTTCTCCCAGTTAAGAGGCTAGAGGTCTGAAACCAAGATGTCAGCCGGGCCGTCCTCCCTCTGACACCCTGGAAAGCGTCCTTCCTCACCGCTGGCTTCCGATGGTCGCCGGCTACGCTCGGCGCTCCTTGGCCCGTAGATGTATCACTTCGGTCTCTGGCTCCCAGTGACATGGCTTCTCCTCTGAGTGTGCGTCTAGGTTTCCATGTCTTCTCCTCTCAAAAGGACACTGGTCTCATTGGGTTAAGAGCCAGGCCGACTCCAGTGTGACCTCATTTTAACTTGATGACATCTGCAAAGACCCTATTCCCAAATCTTCACAGGTGCCGGGGGTTAAGAGTTCAACACAGCTATTTGGGGGATGCAATGCAGAAATAAAGAAATAAAGAAATAAAGAAAAACTTGTCCCCAGCATTCAGAATTTAATAATGCCAAATCTTGCCGTTTGAGATTTTCGGTACTAAGAAGCAGAAGTGCATTCTCGGCCTTCCTCTGCCTCAGCCAGACTTCTAACAGCGCTCTGTGGTCTCCTCCGCAGCTTCAGGCCTCTCTTCCTCTCCGTCCACACCCACCCAGGTGGCCAAGCAGCACACCTTTCCTCTTGAATCCTACAAGCACGAGCCTGAGCGACTGGAAAATCGCATCTATGCCTCGTCTTCCCCTCCGGACACAGGCCAGAGGTACTGCCCGTCCTCCTTCCAGAGCGTGGCCAGGCCTCCAGCAGCATCACCGACACACTATGCTTCCCCCAGAACCGTAAGTCTGGCCTCGTCCTGTGGGTCGGGCCTCCAGGCATCGGGGGGAGGGGCGCTGAAGCCGAAGCTGGGCACCCCTGACGTGTTGGGTGTATTTTATCATGAGTCCCGGGCTGAGGAAGAAACACAGAGGGCGCAGCAGGCAAATGGCAACTAAACAGAAAGTGGTAACGCCTGGAACCTGACCAGAAAGTGTGTGTTGCCTCAGCCTCTTTTAAGTAGTCAGTCATAAAAAGCTTTATTTGAATTTATCTGGATTGGGAGCCTAGAGAAAGAAGTGATAGGCGAAGCAAAAAGAAAAGGGGAGGGGTTGTTTTTTGTTTTTTGTTTTATTTTATTATGTTATGTTAGTCACCATACAAGGTTTTTTTAAATTGAAGTTTTATTTTGGAGTTTTAAGATTTCCAGTTTGCCATCATTTGCACTCAGAAGCATTCTTGAAAAGGTGAGGCTCTCGGAGTGCAGCGGTGAGGCGAGCCAGGCGTGTGAGCCCCCGCAGAGGCTGAGGGTCAGTGAGTGCAGATGGAGGAAGGCGGCTGAGCAACGGGACCCACGTGCTCCGCAGCCGCACGGTGGGCCTGAAGCGTGGAGACGCTCTCCATCCCTGCCTGGTTCCGACGAGGAACATGGGTCCTCAGTGTTCTCCCTGTGCCCAGCGAGGACATAAGAACCGTGTCCCTGAAGTCCATCTATGTGGATGGGACTGTGGGGTCCGGTGGCTGTAGTGGTCCCCTGGGGTTGCTGGAACTAAGCGGCATGAACTGGGGGGCTTAAAAGAACCAGAAGCTATTGCCTCGTAGCTCTGGAGGCTGGAGGTCTGAAGTCCTGGTTTGGGCAGGACCATGCTCCCTGCAAAGTCTCTAGGAGCCTTCCCTGGTTCTTCCAGCTTCTTGGGAGCCCCGGCTGCTCCTTGGCTTGTGGAGCATCACACCGATCTCTGCTTCTGTCCTCACGATATCCTCTTCTTCCAAGGACACCACTCATGTTGGAGTAGGGCCCACCCTGCTCCAGTGGGACCTCGTCTTCACTTGATCACATCCACAGTTTGTATTTCCAAACAAGGTCACGTTCACAGGCATCAGAGCCTAACACCTCGCCGTGGCTTTCTGGGGGACACTGTCCAACCATAAGCATTGTTATCTTTGGAGAGAAAGAAGGTGTGTTTGTCATGCAGAGAACATGCCATCGCTATTCTCCTTGTTCATTCAGCGATTGCTTTATGAGATGCAGGCTTCACAGTGTTGTTTGAGGGCCTGCGGGATCAAATGCAAGGTGTCGTTTCTGCCTTCTAGGGCTTCCCGTCTTACTGGGAACAGAGTAACCCTCGGGATGAAAGAGTTAAGTCAGAGCGGAAAGGAGGTTGGGTGGGGGTGGAGAGTCCGCTCCAGAGGAGGTGGGGAAGGGAAACGCTGTGGTCTGATAAGGGCTGCGAAGGCCCCGGTGCAGCCCAGTAAGCTGGGCCTTGCATAAGTGGTGGGCCTTGACTGAGGGGAGAGGTGAAGGGAAAGCCTTCCAGAGAAGAAAAGTCGCAACGACTTGGGTGGGAATGAGGGTGACGTGCAGCATAGAGAAGGAGCCGGGCTGTGGGCCGTGTCTGAGGGTCAGGAGCGCAGCAGCAGACCAGGAGGTAGACTGGAGACAGGAAGACCCGGAAGCAGAGGAACAGTCCAGATGAGGAGCAGGACAGGGCTCGGCCCCGGAGAGCTATGGGCCTTGGAGGAAGGTCATCCACGTTCCTGGGTGGGAATGAGAGAAGATCTAGAAAGGCTCTCCTGGGCACTTCACAAAGAAACTTGGTTATAGAGATAAAGGAACAAAAAAAGAATCCAAAAAGCTAACTGTGAGGCGACCCAGATTGTCAAAAGCCGGAAGCCACTACTCCTCTGGGGCTAGAGGGGCAATGGGAGGTGGTGGGGTTACCAGAGCCCCGCCGATGGGAGTAGAACCTGATGTGTCTGCCCGGTAGGAGCTGGAGCCACAGAAGAGAAGCAGCCCCTGGCCAGAGACGCCCTTTGGGGCAGAGGGATAGAAACCCTCCAGCCTTGTGCCAAACCTACCCAGAAGCCTATGGGCAAGGCAATCTGGGACAGAAGGAGCCTGTGGGGGCCAGGAGCAGAGGAGAGGACCGAAGAGGGAGGTGACCAACAGAGAGGCTCCCAAGGATAAAGGAGATATAAAAGTCTCAAGAGACTGGCTTCTTCTCATTATTTATTAGTGATAGTTGACAGAATAACCCCGTTTAGCAAGAGACACCGATTTGAAGAGAAAACAGTTATTTGGGGTTTAGATCACTGGAAGTGATGCTGACAGACACAAGACTTGTCCATGATTGCAGAAGTTTGCTGCTGGCCTTTCCCAGGTTAAATAAAAGAGAATCCAGAGAGTGCTGTCGGTCCAGTGTCAGTTTTTTCCCTCTAAAATAATGACTGGGAAGTGGTATTCTTAGCTGTTTAAACCTCACACAGCTCAGAAGCCCATGGCTGAGGCCAACCAGCCAGAGTCCTGCCGGGATTTCTGAGGCGGTTCTGGGGCCAGAGTGGAAGTATCCTCAGCCATATCCCACACTCAGTGATGGATATGCCATGTGCCTGGTCAGGGCCTGCAGTCCCACACATACGGCTGACAGTGAGTGTGACATTTCAGTGACATTTGAGCAACCATCCACATGTCCCGAGGGGAGGATCAAGATGTGGTCATTCTGTACAATGGGATCTTACTCAGCCTTAAGAAGGAAGGACATCCTGACACCTGCTACAACATGGATGATCCTTGGGGACATTATGCTGAGTGAAATAAGCTAGTCATACAAGGACAAATCCTGTGTGATTCCACGTGTCTGAGGTTTCCAGAGTAGTCAGATTCATAGACACAGAAAATAGAAGGGTGGGTGTCAGAGGCTGGACGGGGAGGACTGAAGAGTCGTTGTTCAATGGAGAAGAGTTCCAGTTTGGGAAGATGGAAAAGTTCCGTAGATGATGGGGGTCATGGTGGCACAACAGTGTGAATGTACTCAATACCACTGAATCATACTTTTAAAAAATGGTTAAAATGGTAAATTTTATATTATGTATATTTTACTACAATTTTTTGAAAAAGTGATCCAGGCAAGACTACAATGTTTATATAGTTTGAGCTTCAGAAAATCTGGGTGATCACCAGAAGCTCCCCACTTATGTTATGCAATGATACATTTCAAAATCGGAAGACAATGTCCCCACTGGCTCCCTGACATTAGACAGGCTTGATCCCACTGGTCAGCGTTTCTTCTTTTTATTTAAAAGATTTTATTTATTTATCTGACAGAGAGATAGAGAGAGAGCACAAGTAGACAGAGCGGCAGGGAGCGGGAGAAGCAGGCTCTCCGCAGAGCGGGGAGCCCGATGCGGGGCTCGATCCCAGGACCCTGGGATCATGACCTGAGCTGAAGGCAGACGCCCAACTGACTGAGGCACCCAGGCGCCCCCCATTGGTCAGCTTTATCACCGGAGGCATCCCCGGGAGGCCCCTGTCATGGCCTCTGCAGCCATTATTGGGCTGGGTCTGTCCTGCTTTGCAGCAGGGCTGGTGGTCATTTCAAGTTCCTGCGAAGTGCACTTCTTTATCACTGGACTATGTTGATTGTCTTAAGTTCCTTAAGAGCTTGGCTGATTTCATAAATTTGGCTACCAGCATAATCTTCACTGGAGAAATGTGATTGCTTAAAGACTTTTGTCAGCCTGAAAATATTTAGATATAATTTGTCTCTGCCCTTTGGAACAAAAAGACACTTTCTGTAAACATTGACCCCGAAGATCACTTTTATAAAGTATGTTCCCATGAGTCTTATTCTAAAATTGGAATGGGGATAAGGGTAATTAGTTTGTCTTTGGTAGAAAGTACTCATTTTATCACTTATTTACTCAGCAAAGACTTACTAAGCAACTTCTGTGTGTCATAAACTGTGCTCAGAAAGGGCGAGTGGGTGACAAACGTATGAGGAAGAGACATGTTTGTCCTTTTCACTACTTGATTAGTGGTGCATTATGCATGGGAGGGCTTCAAGAAATAGCTAATAACTAGCTGAACAAAGGAGGGAGATTTGTCTCTCTGGGGGATGCAGGCAGGTAAATAATTACAACAGAGTTAGATGGAACCTGGGTTGTTATGATGGGAGGAAACACCCAGTCCAGTCTGAGTGCATGGAAGAGCCAATCCCAGAGGAAGGAAGTGGACTTTTTTTCAGCAGAGAGCAATAATCAGCTTTGCGTTTCTGGATGCTCTGTTCTGGATGGATATGAAAACAAGACTGGATTTGAGTAAGACGGGAGCTCAGACGGGACACTGTGTGAAATTATCTGGGCCTGGTGGTAGCTGACGGTGGAACAGAGTGGACCAATGTTAAGAAGTTAAGAACTACTTAAGAGGTTGAATTGAAAGGAATTTGGAATGCAGTGATTGATGGGTTGAGGGGGGAAAAAGAAGAATCAAGGATGATTCCAGAAGTTTTGCCTTAGGAAACTAGATGAATGGTAGTTGCATTTGCTGGGATAGGGAACAGGGCAGGAAGGGGAGCAGGCTATGGATGTGCGCATGCATGCATGTGAGCACGTGTGTGTGTGTGTGTGTGTGTGTGTGTGTTCAGGTGGTGGTGGTACAACAAGGTGCCCGTGGAACATTCAAGAGGAGGTATCCAAAGGGCAGTTGGATATCTGCATCTGGAGCTAGAAATTAAGATTGAAAATCATTAGGATGTGAATGGTAATTTATGCCATGGTCGTAGATGAAATAATCTAGAAAAATATATGGTAGGTGAGAAGAGAGCCAGAAAAACGTGGACATTTCAGGCACAAACAAAGGAAAAGGATTCTGGATTGCCTTGAGATTAGGCAGAAAAGCAGGCAAACACAGTATCATGGAATCAAAAGGAATGTGTTTCACTGTGTCTCACGCATTTGGAGGGAGTGACGTCAAATGCAGTCGGGCGGCCTGCAATGTAAGGACTGAGGTTGGCCCCGATGACAT